TTGAAAGCCATGAAGAGCCATTTCTCTCGGGTGTAAATCCGAAATGAGAAATACCGGGCTCTGATACCAATTGTTAGGATCAAGAGCACTAAGGAGGGGGGGGGGGGGGGGCGTGAATTAGTGCAGCAGAAAACTTTCGACGATTGAGATCGCGTTCGTACGATAAGAGCGATTTCGGTAGAAAATCCGATTCGTAAATCACTTTAACTTATAACCAAGCAAGATGCAGTTAAAGCAAAGATATAAAGGCAGTTTACAGTTATGATAGAAATTAGAACATAAACGCAAACTGAAATATGATGTTCGTACAATAAAAATGATTTACGTCTAAACGCCGATTCGAAAAATGCAGAGCTTGAAACACGATCGTATATGCGCAGAAGGCAGTAAGCTTTTGAGGAGGTTTACAGTAAAGATAAGATGCTCAAAGTAAATGCAAACCGAGATTTAGAGTGGTTCGGTCAATCTTGACCTACATCCACTTTTGGCTTCCTCCTCCGACGAGGTCACCGTCGTCCACTAGAGGCCTTCCTTCAATAGGCGAAGGCCAACCACCCTTTTATAGTTTCACTCCTTTTGACGGGCTTAGGAGATAACCCTTACAGAATTTTCTTTCCTCTCTTATAAGATTAGAACTTGGAAGAAAAGAGGAAGAAGAACTTTCAACTCATACAACACTTTTGAGCTCTAAAAATCACAAAGTAAAATCAGAATTTCGGTGGTTTCTGGGTGCCCTTTCAGTGCTGAAAGGGTGGGGTATTTATAGGCCCCAACCCAGTTTGAATTTCGAGCTCAAAACTATCAATTCCCGGAATTTCGGGATATGGCCGTTGCACCGCCTGACTGAGGCGGTTGCACTGCCTGGCAGAGCTCGAAGATTGAGCCTCTGGGCGGTGCCACCTGTCAGGGGCGGTTGCACCTCCTGCCAGAGCTCAAAGACCGAGCTCAGGCGGTGCCACCTCCTATCAGGGGAGGTTGCACCGCCCAGTCTCGCTCGGAGACTGAGCCCAGGCGGTGCCACCGCCTGGCTGGGGCGGTTCAACCGCCTGGCAGAAATCAGGGTCCGCATGGGTAGATCCATTCGGCCCAATTTGGGTTTTTCAGGGGCCTAGTTGCCCCAAGATTAAGTTAATGGGATCACCTCCCATTTCCAACTTAATCATTGTGCTAACTATGATATTTCCTAAGACATTTACTGCAACTTGCTCCGGTGCGTCAATCGCTTCTTCCAGCGAGCTTCCGGCGAACTTCCGTCGATCATCCGATAAACCCTCGGTGATGCTCCTGCGGACTTTCGGCAAACTCCTGGACTTGCGACGATTCACTTGGCGAGTTTCGATGAGCTTCTTTGGCAAGCTCATGGACTTCTCGGATTTGTTCCCGTAGAACCTCCGACGACTGTCCGAACTTCCGTCAAACTCTCGAACTCCCAACGTGATCATTGTCTTGATTCTGACGCAGCTCCTGCTGCATATCTTACTTTCATCGTAGTTAATCCTGCACACTTAAAACAAAACTTCGATTGAGACAATTAATCCTAAGCAATTAACCAAGTTGTCCGGCATGTCATTGGTCCATAACGCTTCGTCCGATTCTTCAGCGCATCATCCTCTCCTACAGCCTATTGCGGCAGGAGTTACACCGAAGTCAAGACTATGATCACGTTGGGAGTTCGAGAGTTCGACGGAAGTCCGGACGGTCGTCGGAGGTTCTGCGGGAACAAATCCGAGAAGTCTAGGAGCTTGCCAAAGAAGCTCGTCGGAACTCGCCAAGTGGATCGTCGCAAGTCCAGGAGTTTGCCGAAAGTCCGTCGGAGCATCGTCGAAGGTTCGTCGGATGTTCGCCGGAAGTTTGCCGGAAGCTCGCCGGAAGAAGCGATTGACGCACCGGAGCAAGTTGCAATAAATGTCATAAGAAATATCGTAGTTAGCATGTAGATTAAGTTAGGAATGGGAGGTGATCCCATTAACTTAATCTGGGGGCAATTGGGCCCTTGACATACCCAAATTGGGCCGAATGGATCAAACCATTCGGACCATAATTCCTGCCAAGCGGTGGCACTGCCCAAGAGATGGTCTCCCAGGAAAGCTGGGCGGTGCAACCGCCCAAGTCAGGCGGTGGCACCGCCTGGGCTTAGTCTCCGAGCGAGACTGGGCGGTGCAACTGCCCCTATCAGACGGTGGCACTGCCTAGAGGCTCAGTCTCCGAGCTGTCAGGCGATTGTACCGCCCTAGTTAGGAGGTAGTACCGCCAGGACCCCGGAAATCCAGGAAAAGACATTTTTGAGCTCCAAATTCAAACCAGTTTAGGGTCTATATATACCCCACCCTTTCCTGCGTGAAAGGGCACCAAAAATCCAATCTTACTCTGTGATTTTTAGAGCTCAAAAGTATTGTAAAGGCTAGAAGTTCTCCTCCTTTTCTTTCAAGTTTTGATCTTTCAAAAGAGGAGAGAAAATTCTGTAAGGGTTGTCTCCTAAACCCGTCAAAAGGAGTGAAACTGTAAAAGGGTGGTTGGCCTTCGCCTATTGAAGGAAGGCCTCTAGTAGACGCCGGTGACATTGTCGGAGGAGGAAGCCGAAAGTGGATGTAGGTCACGTTTGACCGAACCACTCTAAAATCTGGTTTGCATTTCCTTTGTGTTATTTATCTTAACTGCAAACTTCCTTCCTTACTTTACTTCAAATACGTTTTCGTAAGCTTTCAATGTTATTATATGCACGAAACGACTTTTACGTCAGAATCGGATTTCAACATACGAATGCAGTTTTAATCCTCGATAATTTTTCGCTGCACTAATTCACCCCCCTATTAGTGCTCTTGATCCTAACAACAGCAAGATGAATACTCTTACTATTGCACCCCCGCATTTATCACACGTTCTGCGTCACACATTCTAAACCAATCCAGGGTAAGCTTGTCGTCTAACTCAGTGGCCCCACGTCCATCACCATCGTCGTACGAACCGAGAATTCTCCTCCGCGTAGTGACCTATATCGTTCCTCATCGCATCTGCATACTCGCCACGTCTGTAAGTCGTACCTTAAATCAGTTGTGGAGTCATGTCAAATTTTAGAATGGCAAATCCATTAAGTCAACTTTGTTAATTATCAACTAAAGTGGGATTTAAGATAGTATCAATTTATTATCATAAAAAATTATTGATTTTTTCTTAAAATTCGTGTCCAAATATTTTTTTTCCAACTAACATACATTTATCAACGCCTTATATTCCCAATAACCATTTCCAACAAACATAATTTGTTGGTTTCCATGTCAATTACCGCATTTAATTCTATTTCGTGGCTAATTTGTTGGTTTCCATGTCAATTACCGCATTTAATTCTATTTCGTGGCTAATGTCAAAATGGGCGAGCCATCCAACCCTCTTACTCGGTAGGAAACGAAATGCCACGAAAGCATCGTGCAGAGAACGCGAAACATGTGCGGGGTTACGTGCTAAAGTAACCTACTCAGACCAAGCAATCACATCACCTCGATTTTGATCCCGAATGGACGGTGATGTGGACCTTCGAAGATGAACTGGACCTTTGTGTCTACAATGATGTCTTAATTTGACATTTTAATGACTAATTATGTTAATTGTGTCTTTGATAAGGAACGGATCCGACCCGAATGTCGAGCTGGTTCTGCTGTCGTGGTGCCCGCTGCGGGACCCAGCTTCTTCCCCAACGCCTCTCCCTCCACTATTAAACCAGCTGCCGAATCGAACCGACCGCCAGCGAAGCGTCTCGTTGCACGCGCTCGATTGCGTCCGTCACCTCCTCCTCTCACCCATGAAGCTTTGGACCGACGACAAAGCCTCCGTCATGGAGGCCTTCATCTCCTCCCCCGCGGCCGCTCCGGAGCACCACCCCCCCCGCTGGCCGCCGTGTGTCAACTCAGCCGCCTCCTCCACCGCGACCTCCTTGGCAGTGGCGCACTTCAGCCCGGCGAACCTGCAGCAGCGCCTCAACTCGCTGATAGAGGGTGCCAGAGAGAGCTGGACGTACGCCATATATTGGCGGAGTTCCCCCACCGCGGCGCCGCTGCCCTCACATGGGGCGACGGCTACTACAGGGGCTGCGAGGAGGACAAGGGGAAGCCTCTTGGCGGCGGAGCTTCGTCGCTGGCGGAACAGGAGCACCGCAAGCACGTGCTCCGGGAGCTCAACGCCCTCGTCTCTGGCGGCGGAGGTGACGACGCGGCGGACGAGGACGTAACCGACACCGAGTGGTTCTTTCTCGTGTCGATGACCCAGACGTTCGCGCTTGGCGCTGGACTCCCTGGTCAGGCCCTTCTCTCTAGCTCGCCGGCGTGGATCGCCGGGGCGGACCGCATGGCGACGGCGCTGTGTGAGCGGGTGCGTCAGGCGCGGGCGTTGGGGCTAAGGACGATGGCCTGCGTCCCCTTGGGGAGCGGCGTCGTGGAGCTCGGCTCGACGCATGAGATCTTCCGGAACTCGGAGATCTTGAGAAAGGCCAGAGCGCTCTTCGGCGACGTCACCGGCGGCCGCAAGGCAGCCGGATCCTGGCCTCCGCCGCTGCTGGCGGCGGCGGAGCAGGGGGTAATAGATCCAAGCATGCTCTGGTTTTCGGTGCCTTCGGCGCCGATGCCCTCTTCCCCGTTCGAGAAACCCATTCCCGGTTGTCTCACCGAAAACCCTGTCCCAATTCATGTGCCTCATGACCTCAATTTCACCGGCGACATCAATACGATTCCCACCACCTCGGTCGGAGCTATGTTTGTCGGCAAACACATCTCGTATGAGATCAAGTAGTCAACGTCGAGGGAGCGCAACGAGGAGGTGTTCCTCTCCTCGTCCGCTGCTGTGGCGGAGGGGGTGAAGTGCGAGGGCCTCTTCGGCGGCGGAGAGTCAGATAACTCGGACATCGAGGCCTCGGCCAAGGAGGTGGCTAGCAGCGGCATAACGGAACCGCCGGAGAACCGTCCCAAGAAGCGGGGCCGGAAGCCGGCCAACAGCCGCAAGTAGCCGCTCGACCACGTGGAGGCAGAGCGGCAACGGCGCGAGAAGCTGAACCAACGGTTCTACTCCCTCCGCTCCGTCGTTCCCAACGTGTCCAAGATGGACAAGGCCTCCCTTCTCGCCGACGCCGTCACCTACATCAACGAGCTCCGCTCCAAGACGCAAGCTCTGGAGTCCAACAACCGAGGGCTGCAGTCGGAGCTCAGCGCCCTCAGGACGGAGAGCGAGTCCGCGGGGAGCTCGGCGGCCCACCGCGACCCGAAGACGACCGAGACGAACGGGAGCGGGCGGTGCGGCGGCGAGGTGGACGTGGAGGTGAAGATAGTGGGCTCGGAGGCCATAATTCGAGTGCAGTGCGACAGGAGGAGCCACCCGCCGGCGAGTTTGATGGTGGCGCTAAAAGAGCTTGACCTCGAGCTTTATTACGCCAACATCTCGGTGGTGAAGGAGCTCATGATCCAGCAAGCGACGACGAAGATGACGACCCGGGTCTACTCTCAGCAGCAGCTCACGGCCAAGCTGTTGGGCAGAATGATTGCAGTGTTGGACTGACAGCCAATGCTGGGCTTTAACAGCCCATAGGCCACAGCCCATCTCTTCTTTGATTAAACTCTAAATCAATTAGGAAAGAACGGAGGCTGCGAAATCGAGACAGAAAAAGGCAAGAAAAAATTGCTACAGTAATTTGATTCAATAAGAAGGAGAATATGATAGTAAAACAATAGAAAGAAAGGGAAGAATACAATGACAATGTAGTAAAATTGTTTTCAATCATCCAACAGTATTTTCATCTCAGGTTAGATCATATTTATAGTAAATTATTGTTATGATTATTTGAGAAGAATTTAGATATTATGCACGGTGACATGATCCTTGTATCCCAGTTATTTTCTTGTGATTGTTACTAGGATTTTAGGACAAGAGATTAAGATTTATATATTCATTATTCTTATAGTGGATTATCTCTATTTTACCCCGTGATTTTTATCGAAGGGTTTAACACGTAAATCTTGATATTCTATTTTATTATTGTTTCATTTAATTTCACTGTGTATTATGATTTGTTAGTATTTATTCATATATAAAAATTTATTTCTCTTTATATTCCACGTAAAATCTCGTATACAAGCTTCTTAATACACTAACAGTATAGCTTATTTCAGTATGCTGTGTGTAGCCACGAGTGATGATGTAGAGCAGCAGCTGCTGATGAATACCTGCTTTTGATCTGTCTACTGCACAAGTGCTTAATTCAAAGCTCAATGTCTCTCACTAAGAAACATCAAGGACTCAATACACTAAATCTTCCATCCATGAAGGCTTTATGTAGAGTCTTACGCATGAACGCATATAATAAATAGGAAAATAAAATAATTAATTTGGAGTTCATTTATATCTTTATCTCACACACATCCATAGTACACATGAACATTGTTTGTCAACATCATATTGCACTAAGTGTGTCGGGGGTGATAATTTGATGTAGGATGAGTTACAGTATATTTTTTTTAATGAAAAATAATTAAAAAATAGAGAAAGAGAAAAAATGATAATGACAAGATAATAAAAATAATTTAAGTAATAAACATTAGACTCACTCTGTCTCAAATAGGATACTCTCAGGATGAAAGCCTCACACATTCACACGGTGGAATCATACCATAAAAAGAATATATATATATATATATATATATATATATATATATATATATATATATATATATATATATATATATA